TTAATTGGAAACTGTTAAAAACATCTCGATAATGAAGAGGAAAATTAAACAGTGATGTTAAAACTTAAGAAATACATTTTAATTGTGATATATTTCCAGATCACGGGTTATCTGCTACTATAATGCAAGTTGACAGTTTACTTTTTTGTATCAGTTAGATATTAGTGAATACACAATGTATTTTGTATTGAGTGGTTTTTTTTTGTTTGTTTGTTTTTTTGTAATTTTTTTTTGTAATTTCCTTTAAATTGATTGATGCAGAGATAGATAGATGATAGATAGATAGATAGATCGATCGATCGATCGATCGATAGATAGATGAATAATGGAAGGATCAATAGATAGATAGATAGATAGATAACCTAGACATAGAAAAAGATAGGGGAGATAGGGTAAAAATCAACCTGCTAGACATTCAACAACCTAATCAAGAAAAAAGAATGCAATCACTTTCCTAGACCATCCATAAACTAGAATAGTAATTCTACAATCCCGAATGTCCCTGGCTGTTAATAGTCTTAAAGTTGTTGTAAAGGCTCAAAGTTTTTTTTACCTTTTACCGTCACGTTTTTTTACATTCCCAACTAATACTTACCTGAGCCCCATTGCGATTCAGCAATGTGCACAAGAGCCTCAGCTCTCCAGGGACTTTTCCTCCTCATTGGCTGATACAATGGCTCCTGCTGCTATCAATCACAGGCAGTGAGCAAATGCAGAGAGAGAAAGGGGTGGGGCCAAGCTGAAGCTCCATGTGTGAATGGACACACAGAGAAGCAGCTCGGGAGCAAGCCTGCTTGGGTGCCCTCATAGCAAGCTGCTTGCCCTGGGGGCACTTATCAGGAGGGGGGGCGGAGCTATGGCGGGGAACCCAAGAAAATCAGACAGGTATAACATGTTTGTTATATTTTTTTTAATTGCCTTTAATAACACTTTAAAGCAGGGGTATCCAACCTGAGCTCATGGGCCACATGCGGCCCATCTTTTTAATTGCCTTTAATATCACTTTAAAGCAAGGGTGTCCAATCTGCACCCATGGGCCACATGCGGCCCAATTTTGTAATTGCCTTTAATAACACTTTTAAGCAGGGGTGTCAAACCTGAGCTCATGGGCCACATGTGGCCCATTTTTTTAATTGCCCTTAATATCACTTTAAAGCAAAGGTGTCCAACCTGCGCCCATGGGCCACATGCGGACCAATATATTCGGCCCAACACAAAATCATAAACTTTCTTAAAATTGTTGATTTTTCGAGTGGAATTTTTTGGAAAAATGTAGTTATACTTAGCGAACATATGCAACTGAAGAAAAATTTGACAGTGTTTCTTTACTGATGTTTTATATGTTTTATCTTCCCAAAGAAAAATCTCCCACTCTTCACAACAATCACGCCTTATTCATGTCATCAGTTTTCGGCAGCACCTATATTTGTGAAGAACTATTTTCAAGGATGAAGCACATGAAGGGCAAAGTTAGAACCAAAATATCTGATAAGCACCTTGAGAATTCATTGAGAATTGCTACTGCATCAATCGAACCAGATATTGATCCGTTAGTTTATCAACAACAGTGTCAAATATCGCACTACTTTTATGTTGCCCTCTTTTACTTTTATAATAAAAATATAAAAAAATACTCAGATAGGTACATTATCTATATCAGTGATCATTAGCTTGTGATCTGCCTAACTTTTTCGGCTCATCGGTTGTCCTTATTGTTAGTGGCAGCACAGTGGCTAAATGGTTAACACTTCCACCTGGCAGTACAAGGGTCGTTGGTTCGAATCCAAACCATGGCACCACCTGCCTGGAGTTTGCATGTTCTCCCTGTGCCTGCATGGGTTTCCTACAGGTACTCCGGTTTCCTCCCACACTCCAAAACATGCTGGTAGGTTAATTGGAGTCTAAATTGGCCCCAGTATGAATGTGAGTTAGGGACCTTAGATTGTACTCTCCTTGAGGGTTAGGGACTGATGTGAATGTACAATATATATGTAAAGCGCTGCGTAAATTGATGGCGCTATATAAGTACCTGAAATAAATAAATAATAATCCCCATTTTTTTGTACCACATCCTAATTGCTTACAGAAAAATACCCCCAAAGGGGAAAACATTTTTTGGACTTTACTGGTACCAAGAAGGACTTACAACATTTTAGCACCAATTATTATCAATTTATTAATATAAAAACATACACATTAAAAGAAAACCCTCATTAGGGGAATGTGCCCCCCTTCAAAGTACTCACTGCTGTAGTGGAGGTATATTATGCAATTACATCCACATGTGAATCACTCCTGAGTATGGAATTCGGCAAACTTGACACGTTTCGACTAAAATGTTTTAGGTCGTTCTTGGTACCCAGTAAAGTCCAAGAAATATGTCCCCCTTTTGGGGTATTTTTCTCTAAGTGTATTTTATGTGTGGCCCAAGACAATTCCTCTTCTTCCAATGTGGCCTAGGAAGGTCAAAAGGTTGGCTACTGCTTGCCTAAAGGATATCTAAACAAAACAACAAAAGCTGAATATATTTCAGCTTACTAGTCCTTAGATATTGTGGCTGCATTCATTTTCTTTTTTTCAGGCTGAGAACATTTTCAGCAACTACAGAAAATACCTGTTGAGAAATGCAGCATCCTTCCTATTCCATGTGAGCTGAACTAAAAATCACATA